CTCAGCCCCTCCTCAATGTCACTTTTTCTTTAAACACCCAAAACCCCAGAGTGAAAGTTTCTTTCCCCTGTTATTGCCGGTCTTTATTCCTTTTTCAAAGCAGTGCAGGCTGGTTCCGGGAAGGCACTAATAGACTGACATTTGTTTTCATCAGACCCTGTGGTCCTTGCTCAGACAGGCAGGATTTTTCTGGGTCCGTGAAGATAGGCTTTGTTTCTGTACCAGTGTATAAGGACATCAGTCCTGAGGGAATCAGTTTCCACCATATTCCAACTTGGAAATATTTCAGGGCTCGGCAGCTAAGTGAGGCGCCCCAGCCCCTGACAGAGACGTGCTGGCTGGACCCCCACCCCGGGGGGATGTGTCCCTGCATCTAGGTGGTGTGAATTCATCCCCCACCCTCTTGGGAAAGGAGCAGAGAGTGTGAGTGAGATTTACTGAGCGTTGGGAGTTATCCTCAGCACAGATCAGCAAAGACATGTTTGTTCCGAGTTGCAACTTTAGAGGGAGTGGGGAATCGGCACACTTGCCGCATGCAAGGGAGGGTAGGGTTCTGTTCCTGGGCAATTACTCTTGTTTCCAATAGAATGAACGGTGCCGCAAAGTGGGCCCATTTTCTCACTGGAAAAATAAGCGTGCTGGTTGTTTTTTTGGTAACTATGCAGTTAGTCCTTTTTGCCCTGTGTGTGCCTGGGGCTACTGTCCTGTCTCTCTGTGTGTTTGGAACAGTATTCGGTGGCAAATCCATGCTTGCTCTGTTTGCCACAAACTCCCTCAGAAAAAGGACTTGCTCACTCCGGAGCACCTGAAATACGAGGAACTTCATGTCGGAAGGGCCATCTCAGTTTAGAGATGAGAAAACTGAGAGCATAGAGAAGTGACCCATCCGAGGACACTCAGCGCTGGGCAGCGCCAGCAGGGGGCCACCTGTTCCTCCGCCCATTCTTATGCTGGTCATAGAAAATGTCTGAGACCACAGGTGACAAGCTTTCTCAAAGCCTTGTGGACACTTTGGGCTGCAAACAACAGGCCACCCAACTCAAACGAGTCCCCCACCACCGCCCTGTATCACAGCCTCCATGTAACCTAATGGTCAGCATTCCACAGCGATGACACTGCTCTCTGAAGGGCACAGACGGATACGCGCAACGTTCAACTCCAACACGTGTGTCCTCTGTGCATGGCCACAGTTCCTTCATGCCTCTCCATCAGCCTGATGGAGAAATCTTCGAAGAAAATAAACAAGACCATGTGGATTTGCTATTTCCATGGGTCACTAATGATTGTAACAGGAGATAACCAGCCCTCTGAAAAGGCTCTGACACCTGGCTGTCAGCATTCATTTAACACAGCTTCTGTGTACATCTCTGCAGCAAAAATCATGCTTTAGTAACACACACAAAGCAAAGTGGTTTTACTTCTAGGTTCATTTCTATTTCTTCATTGTGGAAAGAATGTGCAAACAAACAAAATCATGCCCCTCCTGGGGGAAGATTTCCTAATGACAGAACTTGTCTTCTCTGCTGGGTGAGAGTACACGCAGCCCGAGAGTAACGTCTTAAGATATTAAGAGGCTACTGAGAGAAGTTGAAACCAGGATTAAGTCGAGGAACGGTGGCTGGGGGAAGTAGGAGGGTGGGGCGTGGGGGGTGGAGAGCGTTGGAGACCTGCCTGCACCCTAGAGTGGGCTGTAGAAAAGTCCCCTTCCCACGACACTCCTGCCCCCACACGGGGTCATTGTTCCCTCACCTTCAAAATAACACACTGGACAACGTAACCTCTTTTCCTTTTCAAATGAGGTAAAACTCACATAACATAAAATTAACCATTTTACAGTGTATAATTCAGTGGGATTTAGCACATTCCCTTGGTGTTAGGCAACCACAACCTCTATCTAGCTCCAAAACATTTTATCACCCCCAAAGGAGACCCCACACACACACACACACACAAACCCATTAAGCTAGATTAATATAATCTTTTAAGGACCCTTTCAACTATATAATTCTGTGGCTCCACAACAGGAAATCGACTCATTCGATTCTGCACAAATGCCCTCCAGACTGTAAAGGTATTAAGATTACCCCATATATGTAGAACATCTAAATATTTGTCCCTAACAAACACAACGGGGGTGGATGACCAGGACGACCAGGACAGATGACTCCATGGCTGGTCTTTGCACATCTCAGGAGCGTTGGAAACTTCCACGGCTGGGCCAGTTGGGTGCCCATGGGCCACCTCCCTGGCAGTGGAGACTCACAGTTGGTTTGATTTGCGCACATGCCTTTGGCTCCTGGACAAGATGTGGTGTTTACATTGTTAGTTTCTTATCATCATCTGGAAAACCACTGTCCCTTTTTTTTTTTTTTTTACTGGGAAGGGTTTATGCTTTTCTATGAATTCAGGTTCCAGAACGGAGGGGCATTTCTGTGGTCGCCCCCTGGGTGGGATGAGCCTATCCCATCACCCCTATCCTTAGTGGGGTGGGGGTGAGGGTCATGATCTTATAGGTAAGAGCCTCAGCTTGGGGAAATGGCCTATTGGCTCTCTCTGGGTCTTCGCCGACTCACCTCTCCAATGAAAGAGTTGGCTGTGATTGGTGGATTTCCAGCATTTTCAAGCTGTGAAATCCCTTGTCCAAAGATCCAATGTATGCCACAGGTGAAGTCGGAGGTGCAGTGGGTGAGGAGGGCGCGGAGTATGTCTCACTCGGCCTTCCCCACTCCTCTGTGAGGAGGCTCAGCGGGGTCCCCCAGGCCCCAGACCACAGTGTGGAAACCACCGATCTTGACTCCACAGGAAGTCCAAGCACTGGTATTGATGGCCTTTGGACCTTCTGGTCACCATCTGTGAATTTGCGCTTTTTTAATTGGCCTTCAGGTAACCAAGAAATGCCCATGTATGTCACCATCAAACTATCCTCAGCATCCCCTGTGAGACCCCTTCCAGGTTCATGGCTTTGTCTTCCGCTGCTCACCTGGAAGACAGCTGTTCCCCACCCCTTCGCCTCACTTTTGAGTCCCGGCAGGCCCCACCCATGGTTTCAGGCTGCCTTCCTGACTGCTCCACTCTGCACAGTAATTAGAAGATTAGATGAAGGGTAGTGACGCCTCGCTGCTCCTACCTTTTAATTGAACTAGCTGTTTCCTCCTTGGAAGACTCAGAACAGAAACACCTTGAATTTATGGGTAGCATTTAGAACTGCAAAAAAAAGTTCCGGTTTCTCATTTTTTGTTTTCTATCTATGTGTTCTCCGAGGGAATCAAACCTATTGCAGTTTTATCAGCAAAACGGGCATCGCTACCCATTTGGTGAGATGAGCCACGCTGGCATAACTGTGTGTGCTGCATCCTTATGGTCATGCATTGGAGTGGCTAATTTTACTGGCATCAGGTGCTAAGAAAGTCCCTCAGTAACTAAGCATTACATCATGGTTGAATTTAGACAGGACATTTGCTGGTATGTGGTTGACAATGCCACTAATAATGAATTCTAGGGAGCTAAATGGGGAACAATTCTAAACAAAACATATTGTATTTATACTGAAAGATTCAATTGGCTGAATAAAAACCTGAACAAATGAAACATAGCAGCGGGTTGATAGCTTTGGTGCAAGTTGGTGATGTGTACACCTAAGCTAATGTTGCAATTGGAAAACTCTACAGGACAGTCCTGTGAATACTCGTGGTCTGAGACTGGCATTCCTAATGCCTTCTATCTGCCACAGCGGCTGACAGGCACAGCCACAGAATTATATCAGCTCACACCCCACGGGGGAGCCGGGCAAGTCCCTGCCTGACTTCACTGGAGGGAAGGGGGCTCCTCCTGAGCCATCTGGCTGGCTGTTGAAGTTGGGGCCTGGCCCCCTTCTCCTGACTTCTTACCCAGTGCTCTCAACACACCAGCAACAGCTCCATGGTTCATTAACTTGAACTGAAGCCCTGGCGGCTTGCAAAGCAAATTCTTTTTTAAGAGCTGTTATAAAGGTCTCGTTGCTCAAGTGTAACCTAGCAAAACCGCCAAGCCCCCTCTCTTCCCCAGATGCTCAGACTTGCAAGGGCAACAAAAAGTGACGGTCGACTTTAGGAGTAACTGCACCCAGCCCAGAACTTGGGGAATACATGGAAGCTTCCAGAAAAAGCAATGGCACCTCACAAAGGACAGTCCGGTGTGGTGCTCTAGAGCCCAGCTCGCTCGTGGTCTAATCCTCTCTCTGCTGCCCACCAGCCGGGGAGTTGGGAGCAGCCACTCAGCCTTCCTGTGCCTCAGTTTCCTTGTCTGTACATAAGGCTGTACACTGGCTCCACCTCAGAAGGTGATAATGAGTTAGTTGATGCAAAGCGCTGAGAACAATGCTGGCCATTTACTCATTCAGTACCTGCTATGTGCCAGGACCTGTACCTACAAAAGTAAGCAAGATAGGCAAAAATTCCTGCCCTCACAATTGGGGCTGGAGTGGGGACACACAGTGGACCCTCAATAAGGTTATTAGCTCCCAGTTAGGTCAGACCTTTGCCAATAAATCACCTATTTGCCAGCATTTGGGCACCTTCTTCCCATGGGCCTTTGACACTTTGAGGTGACACTTTACCACCATAGTGCCCTGCCAACCAGCAGCCATCAGTACATACAATGTGCTGCCAACAACACTTGATGTCCAGGAGGTGTTCCCATCAGCCTGTGTGCGATCCCTCCCGCCTGTCAATGGAATGGCCATGTGTTTTGCATTAGCACAGTGAACTGGGTCAAAGTTTAGTCAATCAAAAGTTGTGTGAGGACTTGCGATGGCTGGTCTTGGGGTTGGAGGCCTTCCAGCATTCACCCTCAACTAGCTGTTCAATGATTATCTCCCTGGCGCTTATTGTGGTGAGTTGGCCCAAGGTACAACTGACTGTGGCTGTGATCCAAAGACCTGCCCCTGACGTCAGAGGCGAGCCTCCTGGGTGGGACCAGGGGGCAGGACCTGTCTTCTCTATGGGATTTAAAGCCAGCAGGCTCTGCCACCAAACACCAAACACAGCCTTCCCACTGGGAACGGACTCTTGCCAGCGGGAAGATCCTGAAAGGGAGCTTTGGATCTCAGACCGAGATCAGCCAGAGAGAAGAAAAGTAGGTAGAGCTTTCGAACTTGACTTTCTAAAAATGACAGAGATGACACAAACTCACTTTCTTTTTTCCTTAGAGCCACAACTGTCTGGGGGTGGGACACCCAAACAAAGCACGTTGCGTTTGTTGGAGGGCATCTGTTGTTGTTTTTGTTCAGGAAATCTGTGCTTTCTATTTCAGGGAACGTTGGCATCGTGCTCCTCAACACAACCCTACAAAAATGCCTCCTCAGCTGCAAAACGGCCTCAACTTCTCTGCCAAAGTCATCCAGGGCACCCTCGACAGCCTGCCCCAGGCAGTGAGAGAGTTTGTGGAGCAAAACGCCAGGTTGTGCCAGCCTGATCACATCCACATCTGCGATGGCTCCGAGGAGGAGAACCGGCAGCTGCTGCACCAAATGGAGGAACAGGGGACCATCAAGAGGCTGAAGAAGTATGACAACTGGTGAGTGCAGCCTCCAGCCCCAGCTTCCATGCCTCCCCTTTGCCAATGTGGTGTTGGTGGAAAGAGGTGGTGAAGACCTCTCGAAGGTGGGGGTTGCAGACTCTTGAAAAACTTAATAGAATGGCCAAAACCATATAGACTTTCATTTAATGGCATTCATAGAGCCCAAGTCTTCACTGAGATGGCACGTACAAACAAATGCTCTTTGCAAACTAGACCCCTGATAAAAATGAAAGACAGACGGTGCCTGTCCTCAAAGACTAGCTCACCGTCTAGTAAATATCTCCTTGACCATTCCCAGCTGGTGTGGCTGTCCACATCCAGAGAACATCATCAGTGTGCTCAGCACCCACTAGGTGTGGGAAGGGCATGATCATGAAGAAACCGGTCCATTCCTAAATGATGCTCGGCTGAGGGTCCAGTGCACAGATGCTACGCAAAGTCACAGCACTTTCCTCTCCAATCCTACCTCTGTGTTTTTTATCTTTACAGCTGGTTGGCTCTCACTGACCCCAGGGATGTGGCCAGAATTGAAAGCAAGACGGTCATCATTACCCAAGAGCAGAGAGATACGGTGCCCATCTCCAAAAATGGCCAAAGCCAACTGGGTCGCTGGATGTCCGAGGGGGACTTTGAGAAAGCGTTCAATGCCCGATTTCCAGGGTGCATGAAAGGTAAATAAAACATGTATTTGATTGGGCAAAATATCAGCAAGCCTTTTATTATTATATCTAGCCTGATGGTAATTGTAACAGTAATGGAAGCTCCCATGGCCTCAGAGATCTTTAAATTCCATATGTGAAATTGGCAATGTATTGGGAATGTACATCTCGGTTTGGGTTTTACAGACTGTCTTAGGGGAACATGAAAATTATTTCTATGCATGTGAATATAAGATAGCTTGGCGGAACCCAATTGCACATTTATGAAAACCTCTTCATTTTGGGGTTCTGTTCCCTTTCCAGTGGACTCTTATAAATCGGGGCTGGCGGCAAGCAGGGCATGAGAATGGGTCCACCTGGGAAAACCATGTTGGTTGTTTGTGAGTCCAAGGTCATTTCTCACCAGTTCCCCCCGACTGACCCCACAGGTCGCACCATGTACGTCATCCCATTCAGCATGGGGCCCCTGGGTTCGCCTCTGGCCAAGATTGGCATCGAGCTGTCGGATTCGCCCTACGTGGTGGCCAGCATGCGCATCATGACGCGAATGGGCACACCCGTCCTGGAAGCGCTGGGGGACGGGGAGTTCATCAAGTGCCTCCATTCCGTGGGCTGCCCTTTGCCTTTAAAAAGTAAGAGCCTTATTTCAAAATCGAAAGCTAGAATTTTTCAAAGTAAGCTTAGCATTAAATCCTCCTGGGGATCCCTGGGAGGGGTCGTGCCACACTAACGTGGGATGTGTCCTTCTGTGCAGAGCCTTTGGTTAACAACTGGGCCTGTAACCCGGAGCTGACACTCATCGCCCACCTGCCCGACCGCAGAGAAATCATCTCCTTCGGGAGTGGGTACGGCGGGAACTCGCTCCTTGGGAAGAAGTGCTTTGCCCTCCGGATTGCCAGCCGCCTGGCCAAGGAGGAGGGGTGGCTGGCAGAGCACATGCTGGTAAGGCACAGGGAATTCTGAGTGTCCTCGGTGGAGGGCTGCCAGCTGGGGCAGGGTGCTGGCAAATAGAAACCGTGTTAGAGTTTCCATCAGGCAAGACCCAACACGCCCCAAGGACAGATTAGGAAGTTCCAGCAATAATGATTAGTCTGCTCAGGGATGCCCATCGCAAGGACTTCAAACACGGCCAGACCCACAGAGAGCCTCTGGGTTTCATCCTTCCAAATATGAGTTTTGATACCTGAAGAGACAGATGTGGGGGACCCACCTTTTGGGGGCTTCCAGGAACACCTACAGGCTGAAGTCCTGACCACCGGGAAACAGAGGCAGGAAGAGTTTAAGGAGGAATCTTGTGTCCCACAGATCCTGGGCATCACCAACCCCGAGGGTCAGAAGAAGTACTTCGCGGCGGCGTTCCCCAGCGCCTGCGGGAAGACCAACCTGGCCATGATGAACCCCACCCTCCCGGGGTGGAAGGTAGAGTGTGTGGGGGACGACATCGCCTGGATGAAATTCGACCAACAAGGTGAATTTCAGGCCCAACTGTTGCTGATAATCATGGGAGCTGAGTGAACTTCCTGCTTTCAAAACATGCCAAATTCTCCTGAGTCCACACTGTTTGGATTTTTAATTCAGTGATTTCAGACCTTGCAGAGTCGTAGAAATATGTGCTCTATATAATAAGCATTCTTTCATTTCATATCACGTCTGGATGGAAACGGGGCCCTTGTGTGGCTGTTTGCTTACGTAATACATTTGTTAACGTAGTATTGATGGGAAACTGATGAGGAAGAAAGAGTTGTCAATATAATCCTTGGAAAAGAAAAGAGAAATACTATATCCTAAGGAGGAGAAAAAAAAAAAAGATTTGAGAATTTGGTACTAAAGTGAGCCTAGTAAGATATCAGAGTGTATGTTGTGCTTTGCTCAGTGTTCATGTCTACGTTTCGGTTTAAAATTTTCCAGGTAACTTAAGGGCTATCAACCCAGAAAATGGATTTTTTGGTGTCGCTCCTGGAACCTCTGTAAAGACAAACCCCAACGCCATCAAGACCATCCAGAAGAACACCATCTTCACCAACGTGGCTGAGACCAGTGACGGCGGCATTTACTGGGAAGGCATCGACCAGCCGCTGGCCTCGGGCATCAAGCTCACGTCCTGGAAGAATAAGGAGTGGGCCCCCGAGGACGGTACGCTCCCTCTGGCGGCCCTGGCCCTCCAGCCTGTGGGTGCTACTTGTTTGGGCCAGATGCTAAGGGGCCTCTCCTCTCTTGCTGTTTGTAGGGGAACCTTGTGCCCACCCCAACTCGCGGTTCTGCACCCCTGCCAGCCAGTGCCCCATCATGGACCCTGCCTGGGAGGCTCCAGAAGGCGTGCCCATCGAAGGCATCATCTTTGGAGGGCGCCG